AGAATATGAAAGGGCAGTGGTGTCTTTAATAGCATATTTTGTGTCAAAACACTTCAGAATGAAAGAAATGAAGATGTGGATAAAAATATTTAATTCTGAATCAGTGTAAGCTAAAGTATAACAAATCCACAAGGAATAATTAATTCTGTTGTAGGCTGTGAGTTTTATTTATTAAGTACCTTCCAGTGACTCCTAAACAAAATTTAAATTATTATTATAATTAATTAGTCCCAACAAAACTAAAAGCCAATGCACAGTTTCCTGTGTGTCCTGACTTTCCCGTACGGATTTCTGTAAAGCAGTACGCTACATTGCTTCTGACAAGGGCTTGGAAAACACGTTCCTCTCACAGCAATGAAGTGCTCCAAACCCTTCCTGTCCCCTAGCAGTACCTTGCTTTACTGCTCCTCGTTTGACATCGTAGAGGTTTGTCTGGCCATACGGTGAAACGGGATCAAACTGATCCATCCTGGGGACGAGATTCCCCGTGTGACCTCATCTTTGTGGCTGGTCTGAGCGGGTGGTTGTGCTGCAGCAGGAAGGGGTGGCCGAGTACCTGGAGGGATGGGATGAGGATAACGGGTGGTCCCCACCTTATTGCACGTGTGAAACTCAAGGCTAATTTCTTTATGATTCCTTGTGTGCTTCATTTAGTTGTTACTTGACTTGATTCCTGGCTGAAAGTGGCGTTTTGTTCCTTTGTGTGTGTGTTTACATTTGTGTATGTATATACACAAACAAGGTAATTTTACATGAAATCGCAGTGCTCAAAGCTGGACCAATCAAGTTTCCTATTTAGTAGGGCATGGGTCTGGACCTGGAAGAGAAAAAAGGAAGATCGAATGGTGGCAAAAAGGCTTCAGTCAGTCTAACTGTATGCAGTGAAATTGGGTGAACAGAAGAGCACTTATGAAAAATATTATTTGAGATTCCCAGTGCTGTCAAGGAATTTACAAGGGATTTAGTGCTAATTTTAATTTATCTGATTGAATGACCCAAATTAATGTTTTTTTTTTCTTAGAGCAGGTTTCAGGATTGCCAAATACTTGTACTTAAAAGTTTAGCTATTGCTTTATCTAAAGGTGTTCTGCTGAGACATCTCATCAGCTAGCAGAGGATGTTCTGCTGATTGCTGCTGTTTTTATGCCTCTTCCAATGACCAGATGAAAGTTCAGCTGAGGTTTAGTACTTGGCACATGACTCACTAAACACTGATTTTCAATGCTGATACGAATCTAATTGTCTTGCTTAATGAGAAGATCTTTGGACTTGTTCTGATACTAAATTAGCAAGTAGTTGAGCTAGTAGGAAGACTTCTGTAGAGCAGAGCAGTTGATGCTGAGGACTTGACCCCTGAGCTGTACAGATTGCAGGGATATTTTACTTTAGGCTGCCTCTAACGTAGTCCCAATGCCTGAAGGCTTGTTTGCAGCTGGAGTGCAGGAGGGGAGTTCTTGGAGTTCATCTGCTTCCGCTGAGAACACTGAACAGTGTGAACTGAAGAGCAGCAAATGATGATTTTTCTGGAGATTTTCTGCAGAAGCGCACTTGTGATCTAAACAAAAACACTCATTTCTAGTTTTATAGTTTCCTTATTTCTAACGTAGTTGTAGAATGAAAGGATGATAAGGAATTTTTAAAGCGACAGGGATAATATTGCTGTATTTCAGAGCCTTTTGTGTTGTAAAGAAACAACCAAATTTGAGCTCTCCTTGTTGCTATTTTGGGAGGGAACACAGCATCCTTCTTCAGTTCAATCAAGAGGCCTTGAGCTAAAAAGGGGGGAAAAAAAAAGCCTTGCCATTTCCAGTTCTTAAAAGAGAGTAAAAGTTAAAAGTAGAAGAAACGCTAGCTATAGTGTATCTTTGCATATCACCTTGATTTTGTTTTCAGTGGCAGCCTTACCAAGGTGCAGTACGAAAACAAATGATTAACTACTCTTCCTTTCACCTCAGTATTAGCTGCTTTTGGGGCATAGTGCTGGTGCCAGGGCTACAAAACCCAGGTAGTTAAGCCCTGTTCTGCTGTCTTTGGCGTGATATTGCAACAGCTAGCTTAGCACTTCTGCAAATGCTTTGCAGATGTTTTGCTGATCACGTAAAAAACACTTCCCGTTCTCAGAGATTCCTTTCAGTAGTTCACTATTCTGACTTCTGTTTTAACTCCTTTTGGAAATCATTACATCTCCTTCTATTAAGTTTTAGACATAGGAAGCAGTTGCTCTCTAGCTTGAACATGCTTGAGAAAAACTTTCCCCTTCCCTGCCAGTGAACCACTGTAACTGCATCTGTTGAGAGCTGTTGTATTTTTGTGGTTGTGAAGAGGGCAGCTGGGTCCCCAAGCTTGATCTTTTTGTTCTGTTTCGTCTTCTAACAGGAAAGAGGATGATGGCTGCCAGCAGAGAGCTTGTTACCTGCTTCCTGTGTGTGGTCGTGTCTGGTTTTTCTTCTGTGGCTGACTGAGTTCATACAATGGCTGATATTGGCTTCTTACTTCTGTTGCTCTGTAAAGCTAAAAATGGATGGCAGTCGCTGATTGTAGCGAGCAGCTGGTTGCTCTGCACAAGTGACTGTCACCTTTCTTGGAACTGCACAGTTTTATCTGGCTGGAGGATTACGATAGTCACTTCAATTGTGTCTTTGTCTCCTGTTCTCAGAGTCCAGTGTTGATCAGTCTAATTACACCCTGGTGTGCTCTGCTTCTAAACAGACCGTTCTTAGATTAAAGGGAAATGGGGGAGGTTGTGCTATTAGTTATTCTATTCTTTGATTTATAGTTTAACAAATCATGAAATCGTTTTTCTTCTAATAGATTCGCCCAGAATTTCTAGGTTACTCATAGACATTCGGATAGTGCTTTTTTTTATTCATTTGGGCAGTTTTGGGCAATCTCTGGTTGCTTTTCTAACAGCAACAGTGCTTTTGGCAGCCCTGACACTTTCCAATAAGACTCCTTTGGGAGAAATGCACATGCTGTGCCTTAATGAAAGGTTTGACTGTTATCGAGACAGTCAGTTGTGGGCTACCACTGCTGGAGAAGGCCAGTTCAGTAAGTTTTTCTCCTCGTTTCTTGGCGCTCACCATCACTGACTTCCATTGCAGAATTCCTCTTGACAGTCACAGCAGAGTTTCTCTGGCTTTGGAGACAGAAGTGAGGAGCTGAGCCAGCCCTGGAAAGCTACATAGTATTATTAATATCAGAACAGTGAGAGACTTTGGAAAACATTGTACCCTTGATCTGCTGCTAGCTACTGAAATTGCTAAGAACAGGATAAACACAGGAGTCAATTTAGGTCAAGCATCTTCACCACCACCGTGATGATTCAAATTGAACAGTTTTGCTGTTGGAGCGAGCCCGTGTATTTTGAATGTGGACCATGCAGAGAGATGCCTGTCTGCATGCAGTACGAGCAGTGTGGTTAGTGCAGTTTTTTCATATTTTAAGATCTTAAGTGACCTAAAGATGAATTTCATGCTTAGCACAGTATTTGTACTTTATCTCCCTCTAAGAAATGGCCTTTCCAGTAACATAAGGGGAGAATCATGCCTGTTTAAAGTTAGAATTAACCAACAGGATGGCAGCTGAAACATGAGTTAAAGGAGACCTGATCAATTTTCTCAAAGTGCTTTTTACTGCACCTTTGCAATTCCTGGCTCAATTTTCAGGTCATGTTTGTTTGCATTTTCCGTTGCTGGTCACTCTCACTTTCTTTAATGTATCTGACTCTGAATTAATTTTTAGTTTCTGAGTGGATGCCGGGTGATATCTTGACAAATGTGATCTATGGAAATAGAAGAAAACTTTGTTGGCTGCTAGGTGGTGTTTTTGTTGTTGTGCAGCTTATATCCATAAATCAGTGTTTCTTTCCTTCCTTTAGGAAGTAGCTCCTTGAGATAAAAATGGAGAAAGCAGGCTATAGGTCTGACTAGCAAAATTTCTGTAATTTGGGACCTGTATTTCTGCTCTGTGTCAAAGAAAAAAATTAAAGAGAATTAAGCATACTTTCTAGCTATTAGCCAGATCACATGCATATCCCTGAAGTCAGCACTTAGTGGTAAGGAGACAAAAACGTTGGAGCCTGGAAAAGCTCCTGTGTGATAGTGTCTTGAAATGAGCTATAGGAAGTGGCTCTAGCTTTTTAAGACTGCCTGGTACAAGTACCTCATCTTTGGCTGTAGTTTTATGCATGTTTCTGATTCAATTGGACCACATGTTGTTTGTGTTTATCTAGTTCATCAACACTGTTTTAGTACTTCATCAGCACAACACCTCGTTCCATGTGCTGTTAATGTAGTCTTGTGCCTCTGTGTGCACCTTTACTGTGAAACTGTGTGTGATGACACAGTTTTAATCTTGTGATTCCTAAAATAAATGTGGGTCCTTCTAAATGGTGTGCCTGAACTACTGAATGTGAGACAATATCCTGTGCATTTTGTTGTGGCGACTTTTTATCTGGGGTAATTCCTGCT